CTGAAATGTCACACACATGGTCTTATTACGCTTATTTCTAATCTAAAATCCAAATATATATTGTACTTTATTCAAACATTTACTAGGTTCATAGGTAAAGTGAGACCTTCCACATATAGACTATACAAGTTTATTCTATGTGTTTATAAGTGAAGGGATACACAAGTAGTGTGGACCACTTTATTGGAAGGGCCAAGTTACTTCTTGGGCACATGCTGCTTCTGGGCCTTCAGCACCCTCACTACAATCTTCTGCTCCTCAATGAGGAAAGCCCGGACAATCTTGCTGCGAACACATGTGCCGCACATGGAGCCTCCATAGGCTCTGGTCACTGTCTTCTCTGGCTTGGAGAGGGCCTTGAGGGCACGGGGTCTGGAGTAGGCAATCTGACATCACAGCCTTGGTTAGTCTTCTCTAATTTTACATATAGAGCAATCAAATACATTTGTAGTTAAAAAGGGATATATTGGATAAAAAATAACTTATTTATCTCCTAAACACAAGGTAATAAGACCAAATCCAAATAAATAAAGTGCGTGACATTTCAGTAACAGTGTTGTTATCATCTTTAGACAAAAGTACTGAATCTTTATTTATATACTTTACTTGGGGGGTCGGTGGAAGGCTGGTTAAACCGTTTGGTTTACGACCACTACGACCCGGGTTCGATTCCCGCATTGGACACTTTCTGTTTAAAAAAAAATAAAATGCTCCAATGGCCCCCGATTCTTGCAAAAGTCCAACCCCACCAGCGAGTGCAAGTAACCAAACGGGGCCCTGGCATATTTGTAAGTGCAAAAGTCTAACTGCTTTTCACATGTGTAGACATGTGGTGCGCTTACAGTAAAAGCAGTCGCTAACTACCCACCATGATTATCATGGCCTGTACCACGTGTACTAGGGATAAGCAAAAAAAAATCTACAATCTAAATTGTGCCTTATTATTTATCTCTTGCTAGGTAGTGTAAGGGATAAATTATTTGATCCAATATATGCCTTTTTATTAAACTGAAGTGATTCTGAATCAAATGGGCTATCATTCTACGAGGGTGAGTAGAAAAGTAAGGTCTCCTATTTTTTTTTCATAGAAAAACGCATTTAATCACAACTTTTTATACGTCATTGGAAAGGTTGGACACTTTGCTATTTTTCTACATAGTCGTCTTGATGCTCAATCACTTTTTTCATCCTGTCAACCAACTTTGTAATTCCGGTGTTGTACCACTCTCCCGCCGCCTCTTTGAGCCACTTGTTGAGCAGCTTTTTAAATGCGAAAAATAATTCTCCGGTCGAAATTCACCGTCAGTTAGTGGAGGTGTATGGTGAGAAGTGCATGGACATCAAATATTTGCGGAAATGGTGCCGGGAGTTTAACGAGGGGCAGATAAACGTCCACGATGAACAGCGGTCTGGGCGGCCGAGTTTGCCGGAATCAACTGTGGCTCGAATCGATGAAATGGTGCGCGCAAACCGGCGGATAACCCTTGAAGAGATCGAGGATGGCCTGAATGAAGATTGCAGCCACTTCTCCGTGCACAAGATTGTGTCTGAGACCCTCGGCTACAGAAAGGTGTCTACCAGGTGGGTCGACAAGTGGCTCAAAGAGGCGGCGGGAGAGTGGTACAACACCGGAATTACAAAGTTGGTTAACAGGATGAAAAAAGTGATTAAGCATCAAGACGACTATGTAGAAAAATAGCAAAGTGTCCAACCTTTCCAATGATGTATAAAAGGTTGTGATTAAATGTGTTTTTCTATGAAAAAAAAAATAGGAGACCTTACTTTTCTACTCACCCTCGTATTATATAAAATTGCTTAATCATCAAGAGTGAGCAAGTAAAAAAAAAATTAGAAATGATAGAATGTTACATGAACATCTTTTAAAATACTTGTATAATAAAACTGAATGTTATAGCAATCTTCATATTATTCACACACATTTTAATATAATTTATTGAAACAAACCAAAACTTTTGTACACATTTGTTTATATTTAGATAGGAGAGATTTCAGATATATTAGAATATTTTTAAAAATAAGTCTAGTTTTTAAAACTTTTAAATATCAAAACTGTTGATAAAGTTTGCAAACAATTATAAAAGACTGAGGGAAGACTTTTCTATCATGACAATACAAGCTTTCAGGCAGATGTAGCAGCTCTTCAACCAGTATGTTACACTCAGAAAGTTTGTATTGTCATGATAAAAAGACTCTTCACACATCAAATTGTCTTTTTATTTATAATTTTTACAAACTTTATCAACAATTTTGATAATAACAGAAATATTCACAATTTAAAATATATAATATTTTCTGGCCCGCCACCCTAAAGGATGATTCTTGGCAGCTGACCCAAAAGTGCATGCATTTTTAGCAGAGCTTGGTGAGGTATATTCTGATGAATATGTGAAATTTGCAGGCCACACATCTGTATATTAGAATTAAATTCAATTTGTTTTTCTTCAAATAACTTTACCAACAACTTTTCCCTTGATCAGCTATGGTGGATTACTCTCAGTTACAAATAAATCAACCTGATCGGCATATTTTCTCAAAGGAAAATTTTATCTACAAGGATATAGGGGGAGGATCAAAAACAGGGTCCAGGTACATGAGTGGCTATGACATCCTAGAAAAGGAGGATGTTAGGTATTCACGGTATTGTTACCAAGACCAAAGTAACGAATGAAGATGACATCAACAAAGAGAAGCTTCACATAATTTGCTCATTTTGATGGAAAAATTGCTATGTATATAATAAGTAAAAAATAAAACCTTTTAGCACCATTTAATTTGATGATGATGAGACTGTAAAATATAAAAAATATTATATAAACGGCAGAACCTCTCTGTAAAGGACCACACCTAATTGCAGAGCCAAAGTGTCTTTCAGAGAGAGGTATCCTCTTACCTAGAGTTGCTAAACTTTCTTGAAAACAGTCCTTTGTAGAGGTGTCTTTTTGCACAAGTTTTCTCTCTTGGAGGTTTTACTGTATTAGAAATTAGATTATATTTAGAGGCTAGTGTTTAAAACCAGCAGTAGTAATAAAAAATCTGCTTATACTACAGCATCAAAGTGTCTGGTAGATTTTACTGACTGTGTAGTACTGGTATTTATCACACACCTAGTAGTAGTTATCAGGTAACAATCAAGTCTATAATAGGATAATTTCAACTTACCCCCCTCAGCTTCTTGTGGCATTCACTGCAAGACGCAGTCTTGCCTGGCTTCTTGGGGTACAGGTACACCAGCTTTCCTCCAGGAGTCTTGGAACTGGAAAACACATTGTATTGTGAAGATACTGTGCAGCTCTGGGGAATTCTGGCTTCTGACTCAAGAGGGAAAGACAAGAATGAATAAGCCTGCACCAGTTTTGGACAACATGCAATCACCATGATTTTAAACTTGGGACTTCATCAGTACAGCCACAAATTTATTGCATCCTGTTATTTAGACAAGGTATACCAAGGCTGTTACAGAGAAACATAACATGTAATTGCCTCATTTTGATTCGATTTGGAGATCATGTAACAAGTGTTAATAGCCATTGAAATAGTACCCACCCTCATGCTGGTAAATGCCATTGTCCAAAACCATGGTAAGCTAATGTGTGACTTTGCCAAAGTGGTGTGGTGCTGTGACTTATTAACTGATAGCAATCCAAGCATTCCAAGATAGAGAACATTGCTGCGATAGAGATGCACGGAGACATCTGAGGCTCTTCATTGGACATGACAATCCTAGCATTCCACTCAAAGATCAAAAGAGACATTCTTAAAGCATTTGATAAATTCATTGATCTAACAAGAGATGCCTTTTTATTGATGAATAT